TAAAATGTGTTTAAACGAAACAAATAGTAAAGTCTGTGTAGGTAAACATTTGTCTGATAAATTTCCTATCCAGAATGGTCTAAGACAATGAGATGTTTCATCGCCACTCCTTTTCAAATTTGCTTTAAAATATGCCATTAGGAACGTCCAGGGAAACCATGTGGGACTGAAATTAAATGGGACACATCAGCTGTTGGCCTATACAGATGATGTGAATCTACTGGGTGATAATATAGATACCATAAAGAAAAACACACAAACTTTAACTGACGCAAGTACATAAGGAGGTTGGTCCAGAAGTAAACACAGAGAAAACTAAGTATATGTTACTGTCTTGTCACCAAAATGCAGGGTAAAATCATAACAAAGATAGGTAACAGATGTTTTGAAAATGTGGCACAGTTCAGATATTTGGGAATGACTATAACAAATCAAAGCCAGTCACGGTAGCTGAGCGGTCTAAGGCAGNGGGGCTGTAGTGCCGGAGAAAAAAAAATAACAAATCAAAACCTGATTCAGGAGGAAATTAAGAAGAGAGTGAACTCAGGTAATGCTTGCTACCATTCAGTCCAGAACCTTTTGTCTTCCCGTCTGCTGTCCAAAAACATAGAAATTAGAATATACAAAACTATAATCTTGCTTGTGGTTCTGTATGGGTGTGAAACTTGGTCTCTGATATTAAGGGAGGAACATAGACTGAGGGTGTTTGAGAACAGGGTGTTGAAGAGAATAGTTGGACCGAAGAGAGATGAAGTGACAGGAGGTTGGAGAAACTTCTTAATGAGGAGCTTCATAACTTGTACTCTTCTCCAAGTACAATTAGAATGATCAAGTCACGGAGGATGAGGTGGGCAGGGCATGTAGCACGAATGGGGGAGAAGAGGAATGCATATAGGATATTGGTGGGAAAGCCAGAATGAAAGAGACCACTGGGAAGACCAAGGCGTAGGTGGGTGGACAACATTAAAATGGATCTTGGAGAGATAAGATGGGATGGTATGGATTGGATTGATCTGGTGCAGGTTAGGGACCACTGGAGGGCTCTTGTGAACACGGTAATGAACCTTTGGGTTCCATGAAATGCTGGAATTTTCTTGAGTAGCTGCAGAATTGGTGGCTCCTCCAGAAGGGCTCAGCTCCATGAGTAAGTAAGTAAGTAGAAAAGCCACAGGTAACTGCTGGCATTCAAGACATATAGTGTATGACCATCTGCTTAAAGCATAATGGACCACTGTAGGTCGCAGTGCAAGGGCCAAGAAGGCCCACCCCTTATACATTCACGCCATCTGCTTAGGCTCGTTGTATATCCAGCATTATCTGTTATACTAAAGAGAATACTACTGTTGTGATTATTTTGTTCCATACACCATATATACAAAGTTATTCAAATACAGTGGATCCCTTCTAAGAAGCTTTCCAAGGGACCAAGAAATATAAACTTCTTAAGCAGGAAAACATTTTAAACAATGGGCTTCAAAATGTTTAAAATAACTGCATCTCTTGTAGAAAGCTAACAGAATATACATGGCATTTTTACAGTGAAATGGCTAAAAACACAGTAAACATATTCAAACATATACTTCACATTCCTACTGTCATGTTTAAAGTTGACAGTCTATTCTGAAATGTGATCCTTTCTTGAAGAACACATCCAGTGTCATTTGTTTTGGTCATCTTTCAAAACAATTCTGAAACAAAATTTTCCAGTTCCCAGAGGTTACTACTGATGACTGACTTTGGCATGTCAGGAATACCACTAAGGAAAGAGTGATGTATGCTCTCTAGAAACAATTCCTCTTTCCAAATATTTTGGAAACTCCTTGAAAAGCATACATGTCTGCACATGTATTGCAGGGGCTTCACATACTTGACATACCTTGGTGGCTCTGATTTTCCAATTACCAGCACCAGCTCCTAACCCCATGACAGCTTCCATCTTTGAAAGCAAATCTCACTCGGAAGTGGTGGTTGCACCTGTTTTGTAGGAACCTGCTTTCTCTTCAGTTATAATTTTGGAATTCCCCACTCATGGTTCTGTAGCTAAGCCCTGTGCGCTTTCTGAATAAATCAAGCCATCCTTTCAACTGTGAAAATTAATCGTTTAGTTTCAAGGCATTTTCTTCAGCCTTCTGTCTCAACTTTGTACTTTGAACAGGTATGTATAATGTCCATTTCTGCCTCAAAAACCCTAGAAGCACTCAAATTTAGAAGTATTTAACATTTTTCTGACTGGTTGAGGAGTTGCATGTTGCTGAAGTACATGCTTTCCCTATTTGCCATAATACTAATTACCATCAAGATTGGTATGCAAAGTGGTTCCATAACCTTTGTGTACATCATATGTGGTTGAGCACTACCTTCCTAATGATTTCCAGTTTCTTAGAAACTGATGATGCCTTATGTCTTATGTTACTTTTTGTGGCCATGCAGACAGCTACACATAAAACACAAGTCAATTTATTTTCATGCAACTTCACAAACTTCCACACGTGTTGACCATATGTAACCTTACACACAAAGACTGCAACACTGACTAAATGGATGCAGGTCAGAAATTCAGCATTACTCCCACCAAACCTCTAACACTCACTGAATATTACTGAGTGCTGTAACAAGTGTCTACTTTGTTTCCCATTCATTTCTGTATATATAAAATGCAGTAACGTAAAAGCTTATTAAATGGGTAAAATGTTCAATATATGTCTTTAAAACTGCTCTTCTCATGTGCAGTAGCTTTATATGCATGAAATGTTTTAAATGGAAAATAAATACATTATTTTCATGGCATTACTTTTGGGACTCAATGATTTTAACTTCTGACGCATGAAACCATTTTAAACACGATCTTCTTAAGAGCGATCCACTGTACATCCAAATTATTATTTTTGGGTATGAATATTATATGCAGTTTCTTGCCATGAACACAACAAATTTTTTCAAAGAAACCCAATCCAATATCAGTGTACTAACATTGGCTTTATTCTAGCGTCTGCTACACGTTTGGATTCAAGATTTGGATCACATTCAGACAGTTTCTTAAATATATTGCTTGTTACTGAATTGTCCTAATATGGATTAGTATTATTTTTTTTTAATTCTTTGACTTCTGTATCTTACAGTTAATCTTAGGGCTAAAATTATTTAAATTAGTATTTATAAAGTTGACACTAACACCGTCGACAAGCGACGGTCGCTCAGTCGGTATAGTTCGTTTACGGACTAAAAGCCACAGAGTTTATTGGTTTTGTCTTGTTAGTAAGATATGGGTTTCTGTGATGCTTGTTGTATATTTGAGAGTGATAATGTCTTCTGGGATTTGTTGTTAATGTTTGTCTTACCTGAAAGTAGTTCAATATGTGGCATTATAATTCTGAGTTGTGAGTAATATGTACTTATATTGCATACTGTGGGTGATTACTTACATGTTGTGGGTGATTACTACCGTATTATTTGTTGTTATCAGTTCTATATGTATTTCATCCTGATTTAGTTGTATTCAAGAAATTGCCTGATGATGATTCCAATCATAGATCTAAACATGTAGCAGATGCTAAAATAAAACCAATGAGAGTACATTGATACTGGATTGGTTTTGTTTGAAAAATCTGTTAACAGAAAAAAAAAACACATGGTAACACATAACAGGATATGGGAAGCAAAATTTTATATATTGTCATGTGTTGGGTGTATCACGCGACATATAACTTCAAGCCGTCTTGGATCTAGCAAATTTATTGAACACTCACTCTCTCAATTACACCACTACTGCCATTTGAGTATCACAAATACTTCTCCTGTAGGCATTTCCATTCACTCGATACAACTTGACTCGGTGACTGCTAGAATGCAACTGACTGGTTACTCTCTCTAACTGGCGCAATACTCACTACTCACTACTCTAGTAGCTTCTGCACTGACAACACAGAAAACAGTTATGCGATAGCTAACACTGTTGCATAATGTTGTGTTTAAAGGCACTGCTGGGGAATGCTGCCAAGAGTTGTTTATTGCTTCGTAGTAACCGCGGTGTCCCCTGTTACATCACTATGGGAAGTGATGTTACATCACCGTGGGAGGCCACGGAGTGTTTACCAAGAGTTGCGTAATGATGGAAGGGGTGGGAGTATGTGACATCACTCGCAAAACCATAGAGTTCACGTGACCCTTACTTCCTGTTGCGCCATCTACGTCACAATATGTTCAGCAATGGATAACACACACCTACCTAAGGAAACCAACTATTACAGGCCACAGAGACATGGCAAGACCAGTGAAAAGATAGTCCAATCAATACCAAGACCAGAAACATGCCCTCATGACTTAATCCTATATTTCAAAAGAGGGGGAGGGAGGAGGAGGTGTACAGAAACTCTCATTCCAAGTCACAACTGAAGCCACTTCATTCCCTCCAAAATTACACTAAATACATCAGACCACTTTGTGGTCAATGCCCTATTTGTAAAATACTGTCACGTGTTGGGCATGTCACGGGACAAATAAATTCATGTGGGTCTCAGATTCAGCGAATCTTTATTGGGCTTCACTTATACACTCACATGCTTTACAATTATTATCACTTGGAGTGTCACTTGACTTCTGTCTCTATTTCAAGGCTTACACAGTCCTTGGTCATGGCTGGATCTCAACTGTCTCTGGCGGTGGCTTTCTGAAGATTGACTTCTTGCTGTCTTCTTCTATATCATATAGCGTCTAGGTTCCAACTAACTTGGCAAATGCCTTCATCCCCTTTTATAACCTCGGCCGCTGCTATGCAATGAACCCTCATTATAACTGTGGAGACTCATCTCTGGGGAGGTTCGGCATTCTCTACACAATGGCTCACTGTTATTGCGTTGTTTCTGTGGGAACTCTCCGTGTATTCGTCGTAACCATGGAGACTCATTGTAGGCTGTTAACTTCCTATTGTGGCCGTTGCGCGATGACCGTAAGATAGCACGTTACAATACAATCTTTCTGTTCTGTCACTGAAACTCAGCTGCCAACCTCTGGGGAATGGCATGCAAGTAATCTACTTGATATGGCCTTGCATTCAGGTAAATATAGTACTTATTGCTATACACAGAATCTTACTTACTCATTAACATCACATGAAGGCAATTTCAATTGCTCTAATGTTGTCAACTTAGAACTGAGGAAAATATGTGTATAATCCTTGGTTAGTTTTTCCAGTCCAATCTCCAGCAGCAATTCTAGTGATCCGATCCCACTGAGGGCAGGCAGTGATGAACTGTCCCGCATCAGCTCTCTGAGAATATGGGCTACTTTGGTAGGGTTCCTTGGGTGTACCTGCAAAAATAATGGAGGCCATGGCATGTAAATTATCACTGGTATACAGTACCTGATAGCTGTTCAGCTGACTAAGAAAAATATCTGCTTCTTTCAATTTGGATGGAAACTGTCAGATTTTCCTGCTGAATTTTCAGTGGACATTTAATTAGTAAATATTCAGATTTTAATCTCTATATTAAAAATTCTCATATGACCAAGAGTTCAGAATTGCTGAAATTCTGTATTTCTCTAAATCACAGGCTACAATAACATATTTATATTATTTGTTGATAATTACTTACAAAAATTTTTGCATCACCAGACTGTATTTCTTGAAATACAAGCAAAAAGCATTTGGACAAGTTCTCAGAATCCCTGCAATCTGATACAAAACTCACGTTAAAAAACATTCACATTAACATACAGACATCCTTATTTACACATTTCACAGTACATTACATTTGCTGACAAATCTGGAATGTCACTCACTGATTCCTATGGCTGGACAACTATATCTGATATTAAATATTCAGTACAGCAAAACCTTGCTACCCAGCAGCTTAAAATCTGGATATCGCTTAATACAGACAAAACAAGGCTACTGCCATGAGAACCTAGAACCATTAATCACTGAAGAATTCTCTCTCAGACATTCAACTGTTGTGTCCCCAAATGTGTTTCAATTGTGAATAATGACCTACAATATGAGTATTTCAGATGTTCTTTTATAGTTTAGAACAAAACTTCATTTAAATGATTCAGTTCTGCAAAACATGCTGTATGCAAACCCACATACATGATGCAATGCAGAGGCATACACAAGACAATCCACTACCTGCAGCACATTCTGTCACCATGTGGTTCTGACTGAACAAGGTGGTTCAAGCAGTAATTCTTCTGACTTGTATCTGGAAGATGCCCAGATCAAATCTCTCCTGGGATGCCAACTATCCCAACTGCGGGCTATTGTGGTTTTATCCAGTCCTTCCACACAAATGTGTCTTAAATCAGGCCATGACCACATGAGGTTTAAAACTTTGTGCTGACGGTAGTTTAATACAATTACTGACTTTCTGGACATTATCAAGTGTTCTGTTGTTTTAAATAAACACACTAGTCCACAAAATCAATAATTGTTAATACTTCCACATCCCTGCTATCATCATTCACTTCCAACAAACCATTTTAAGCTATATAGTCTGTTACTGACAACACCATTAAAAAACCACCTAGATGGAAAAAGTCAAAACGTTATCAGTGACACAGTAACAGGTTCTGCGTACCACCCTTCATGTTCATTCAAACTAAATCAAAGTACTTAGAGAGTGCAGATATATATTGTGGTGTGCCACCTTGGGCTGGAATATTTTGAATCAGAATGCATCCATTCCTATATATAACAGTTAGCAAACCTAAGCAACGAACTTGTCGTGAAACAAGACCTCAAGGCATATTCTTGCGACGTCACTTTATTACTTTTCCACTAACTACAATTCAACGTAATTATAACACAAAATGTTAAACAAGTCGTTTCACAGTCGCTCCTTTCGTGTTAACAACTCTCACTAGAATGTAGAACTCTCTGTGCTGGGTAACCACTGGCTTTTGTCCACACCACTGCCACAGCTGATATATATATATATCGGACAAGTGGGAAACATTGCCTCCAGCAGCACATCTACTGTTACGTCACAGCGGGGAAGTGTATACTGGCTCGTTGCCTAGCAGCAGCTCCTCTGCCGTTGCATCACAGCTGGGAAGTGTTTAGTGTCTCAGCAAATAACATGCAACGACTAGTAGAGCAAACACATATGCAGTCATGGATCATAAGTCAAGGAATTAAAGGGGAAAGAAGTCTCAATTCCCAAAAGAACTCTTTAAGGCACTTGCATGACAATGGCCAGGAAAACTTGTAGCAATGATAGAATAGGCTAGCTAACTAGCAAACTTCCCACTACGACAGAAAACACTAGTTACTGGGAGATAGAACACATGAAACGGAACCCTTGAACAAGGTGTCTTCTAGCCCGTCCAACGGTAGGATATAAGAGAAGACAAAGTTGGAATTGAGACCAGATTACAAAGAGCTGAGATATACAGTGATACGAAAATATTACAGAGATACAGAGAAGACAAGAATGCAGAACACAGAATAGCAGAGACGACGGACTAGGCAGGTCACATTGTCTAGAAGAAGTTAAATCTAAGTGTTTGTACTTGTGAGTGCACACAAAAAAGTGTGATTGTAAAATAAGTGTCCAATAAACATATTCATCTAATCCAAAACCCACATAAATTTCTCGTCGTGTTACTTAGGAAACACGCAACAATATGCAAGGGTGTAAATGTATGTTCTCCCACTTTCAATTCTTTGTTTCTAACACTGAATCAAACAGAGTAGAATGATCTAGCATTGATGCTCTATCCCTGTATTCAGCATATGCTTGGCTCAAATTTGGTTGGGACATCAGCTATCCTGAGGTTTCTCATGGTTTTCCTCAGTCCCTCCAGGCAAATGCCAGTATTTTAATTAGATAACAAATGTTTCCTTTCCTTTCCAGTTCACCATACATCATTCTTCCTACTGTTCAACACAACACAGTCCAACTACTTACAGAGTAACAAAATAACCACTCTCCACCCACAAAATACTGTCTTAAACCAGCCTTGATCCCAGACAGTGTCACATACTTGCCAGTAACAAGAACAGATGATGCACAAAGTCCAGATAGGGCGCCAACTTGTTAGACACAGCTTCTTGAACTGATAGGTTCAGATGCATTGTAGTTACAGGCTCCTGGAAACAAGAAAGTGTATACCAGTTCTGAATTGATCTGATGACAGTATATGGGACATTATGTTAGATTTCTGGAATTGTGTCCATTATCTGGTATTCCAAACAAATATAATATTTCTGGAGCAAGCTCTGTTTCCATTCTCAGATGAAAAGGTGGAGGAGCACTTACTGAGTTCAGTCCACAATCACAGACCCTTGAATCCCTAAGAAGTGACATACTGGCATGTTGAAGAATTCTGAAAAGGCCTGTACAGATGATATCCTGATTTATACTGTCATGGGATGGAGTACCTATAGACAGGGTTTGGATAACTGGATTTACTGGACACTCACACAACTCGTGACTGCAAATCACTATCACACAAAGACTAGCGTTTTAATCACGGTCTTCACTGCACTGCTTAGTGACATCTTCCAACAGTGGACATTCCTCTGCTCCTGGGCTCAAGCTCTCACAGGCTGGCAGCCATCTCACACCAACCTCCTACTCTTCTCACTGCTGTCTTGAGACTCTCCCATAGTGGCAGTTGCTCCTTCTTATATAGCAATGGCACAGACTGCACAAAAAAGTCTCTTCCATTATTGCATGCTCTCTCATTACCAAGGAAACACAGAGCCCACAGAGTTGTCCGCTAGGAACAGTTGTTGCAGTGTTGCCTGTTTACACAGCAAGGGGTCCACATGTCATAATATATAAAGGATGTAANATTCTGTTATATATATATGGGTTCATTCAGATTATATTTTTGTTAATACACCAATGTCCATAAACACTTCCTTTTGGCAATAAGGGCCACAAAAGTTTCCGACAGGATGCATTAGTTTTAGGGGATGCAATTGTTGTTTTACATTATAAAAGTTGCTCAAAATGGCAGCCGCCAACTTCATTGCATGTTCTGCACTGCCTGGCCATGTTACACTGAACTCTTTGAAAGATTCCTAACATTTCCCAGATGGTCCCAGCTGCTACTGCAATTCTTCCCACAAGGTCACGTTGTTTCTCCACTGGAGTCTCGTACACCAGGCTTTGCATGTACCCCCAGAGAAAGAATTCCAATGGAGTCAAGTCAGGCCAGGTTATTGGGCCTCCATGTCCAATCCATCTGCTGCCAAAAGTTTCATCCAAATACTCACGGACGACATTAGTGCAGTGTGCTGGGGTGCTATCATGCTGGAACCACATTTCATGAGAGACTTCCAAAGGCACTGCTTCCAGCAACTCAGGTAAGGACTCTTGGAGATATGTTAGGTAAATGTCACCGCAAGCGATAGAGGTAAGGCGTAAGGGCATCCTCCTTCACATTTCAGATGCCCTACTGGTTAAACAAAGTGTTTCTGGTGT